AGATTGAGGACGGTTGTTGAAGATTGAGGAAGATTGAGGACGGTTGTCGAAGAAAGAAGAAGATTGAGGACGGGTGACAAAGATTGAGGATGATCAAGGACGGTTGACGAAGAAATAAGAAGACTGAGGACGGTTGACAAAGAAATAAGAAGATTGAGGACAGTCGACGAAGATTGAAGAAGATTGAGGACGGATGAGGAAGAAATAAGAAGACTGAGGACGGATGACAAAGATTGAGGAAGATCGAGGAAGATCGAGGACGGATGACAAAGAAATAAGAAGATCAAGGACAATCAAAGAGTATTGATGATGATGAAAGAGGTTTTGGAGGAGAGCGAGACAGTAAGCAGGTACTTTGAAGCTCTTGAGACTGATGGTAGAATGTCTCTGGTCGGAGGTGTTGATACCTGTGAGACCGAGCTTGTAGCTAGTTGGCCAACATGTGGTTTTTGACTGCAGTAGAATCTAACTTTGGTGTTTGAATTGTGAAGTTTGAGAAATGTATTTTTTGATTTTTGGTTTTTTGATTTTTTGGTTTTTGGTGTTGCTGGTACTTTTTGTCAAAAGGTGACAATGCAATGAAAACGGTGTCAACCACTGGAAAATTGGGCAAAAAGGGGTTTTTGCCATGACTTTTACTCCAGTACAGGGGTTTTATCCCTGTATTTGAGTATTTTCTGTAGTTTTGTCTTTGATTTTTGAATTTCGCACCCGGGGATTGTGATTTTTGTTTTTTGAAATTTCGCATTGTCACTTTGGAACGTCTCGCATTCCGTATGGACCAAAGGTAAGTGTTCGGCTGTATTAACATCCTATAAACCATTGATTGACTCAACTGATCGATTAATGTTAATCGTTTCATACAATCATTTCAACGATGGAAAGAAGTCTGCGGGTGTACAAACCATTCGGAAACTCTCAATTCACAATATCTTGGTCGGGCAGTTAGAGTGTAATGAATGTGAGTATGTAGAGCTTATTTTAGGACCAATGTGTGAGAGTTCTGATATTATCTCTTATTTGTTCCGTAAGCTATGTCACTTCAAAGCTTTGGTAATACACACAAACTAGCCCTAATCAGCGGCGGGCGCCGCATGAATGAATCATGTTTGCTAATTCAGCAGATTGTCACCATTCTCTTATGAGCATTTATTTGATCCACCACCCACCCTGGGACCTTTCCTTATATAATAATATGTATAAGGAAAACCGTTTTACTTACAAAACCAAAAAGACACCCTACATAATTGGAATTCACATAATTGATAAACTCTTCCAAACTTCACAAAAAAAGCCCAATGATCATACATAGAAATCAAGCTGTTTTTTTGAATCATCTCCAACACTCAGGTCTTCTTCTTAAAGCAGCACAAACCTTATCTTTACTCATACCATCACATCAATCCCAAACTCTATGTTCATAATTTTGTAATCCTTGATTTTCTTGTCATCAAAACAGACTTCACAAACTTTAATAATAATATTACATTTCCTTTCACCTTGATTATTTGAGCTACTTCCTGGAGAGAAAGAATTCAATAGCATTAAATGATCTTCTCCAACAGATCTCACAAATGTTTAAGTTTTATTTTATCGTATTAATCCAACTATTTTCAACATCAAAATTTGACTGATGACCTCCATCTAAAGTTAAAGAAGCAAATCCCATCCTGTTTAAAATAGGTCTCTTCAAAATTAAATTACAACAAACATGATTTTTGACTTTTCTCTTCTTTTATGAATCGATATACTTATTGAATTAATTGAATGAGTCCAGATTGTGAATGGTCCAAATAATTTGGGTGATAAGTTTGATTCTGTGAACTTTCTTGTTCTTCTTTGGTGGTAGTACTGGGTTCTAAATCCCATTGGCTAGAAATCAAACAAAACAACAAAACAAACAAAACAACAATTTGCAATTAATGGTTCAAATATCTTCATCCATTTCAAAAATTGAGGAAATAGAATTCATTTTTCAGAACTTACTTTGAAAAATATGATTCAAGTTCTAGTGAAAGAACTCTGATTGAACCTATAGTCACACTTTCACATATTTTTAAACAACAATCAAATCTCTCAATAAGTTGTTCAAAAATTGATTCAGAACTTTTACTTGAACCAATTTCTTTGACTATTTTATTCATTCTCCAGAAACTTCTAGATTTTTTTACTTCAATTTCATCAAATAATTAAACATAAAACGAAGCCAAAAAAGAATCAACATCAAAATCAATTAAATTTGAGTTCGATGAATGTAAGAAAGAATGACTTACAAAACCATCATTCCAATGTTTAAATACACTTGACACTTCACAACTAACAAAAACCTTAACTTATTTCAAAACTGCAACTTGACCAATCCCCATGTTACTTTCATTTCCTTCAACTTGTACTGATACTGAAGATCTGATTTATCCAATTGATCCGTATGATTCAGGCACATTCAAAACTCCCAAATATTTCAAATTATAGTCTTGAATTAATTTTGAATCGGTCGAAACCCTCTGTCTTTAATAGATATATCAAATTCAATTGATCTCTAAATCACATGCGCTAAGATTGGTTTAATTTCTAATATATATGGTATATCTTGTTTTGATTTCTTTTTGATCATTTCAATTAAGAAACTTGAAGACCCAGTCTGAGAGGAAAAAAACTCCTGAATTCAGTTTAACTCTTCTTGTTGTGGTAGATTTGTGTTGTTGAACTTACCATTGCATCTAAATGGTTATATCCATTGATATTCATTAGGTTTTGGGCTTTTTGTACAAACCTTTCGTGTTCTTTTATTCAATCAAGTATCTGATCAAAGTACCGTTCGGGCTATCCAAAACAACCGAACTGAGCAATGAGTTAAGTGAATGAAACCTAGAACCAATTCAAAAGGTTGACATTTACAATTACCTTCTCTAATCAATTGGTCGATCTTTGACTATCGAGATGATACCTAAACCTAAGTTCAATGGGTTTCACGATAGCTTTGATTGCGATAAAATTAGGAAATGGACCCAAAAATTGTATTGAAAATTCATTCACTGTTCGTACTACATACTTGATTGACAGATGCACCTCGCGACTTGAAAGAGGTTTCAGTAGAAGATTCAGGGTCAGTTGTTTCAACTGGGATTTTGGATTTGGCTGGGTTCATGTGATTTCGATGGACCGGACTGAACCATAGGTAATTGTGAAGCTGAATATAGTCCAGGACTTGCTGGTCGTGATGATCGGTGAAAGTCTTGAGCATTAGGTGAAGAGCTGACTGCACTTCTCCAAAGATGTTCTCGACTATTGACCTCAGATAGTTCAAATAACAGCAATACCCTGAACAGAAGACGTATAAGCTCCAGTTGGATAGTCATGAGTAAGATTTTCAAGACCATGAGGTCGATTAGGAATATAACCTATAGAAGTATGAGCCCGGGCGACTTTGTGTTCTTGTTTAGCTGCCCTGCATTTTGGTCGTTTGGTTTTTCACCCTTGAACTAAATGTACTACAATCGGTTGTATTTGAGGTAGATGCTGCGTCAAGAGAATTTCACAAATCGTCTGAAACCAAAATTTAAATCACTGATAGTGATACAAAACTAAAAGATGATGCAATCATCAGACCAATGCCCGAGAAGACTAAATCGGACTTTAGGGAGCAGATGGAGATGATTCTGACTAACTCCATATCAATATCTTCCTTGGAGAATGCTAGACTTGCAGCATTAAACTCATTCCCTAATCTCATGTGAATATCAGATGCACCACTTTTATCATTCCTACCATGCGACCGATCAGTGAGACTTTCAAGTAGCTGCTTAGTTGCAATCAATAATCAAGTAACAGTGGATTCCATATGAAAAGAGGTGAGTGGATTGATAGCAGGCTGTGAAAAAGCTTTCGAGGAAACAAAAATATTCAGTTGATTGTTTGATTTGTGGTCAAGAAAAGATAGAATGATGTACGCTTGTCTACTTTTACTACCACTGGCGAAATAACCAGAATTAGCTGGAGGAGAGACAGTGGTGGATTGTCATTCCCCGTGAGAGACCGATTGATTGAAAGCTGTGGTAACAGATGAAGATCCATTACGTCTTGAATGTAAATTCAGATTGGATGGTGAAGTCATTTGAAAGGGAATTCGATTGGAACAGATTTATCGAAGGATGGTCTGATCTTTGTGTGTTGGTAGGGGTTGAGATGACCTGTTACCTTGAGAGTTAAATGAATTGTAGTGGTTTTGCTGAGAGTGGTCTGTGCTTGGTATATCTTCAATGACAAGAAGTTTGAAGGTAAACAAACTGCTGAGCGAGGTTACAAATTCAGAAAATACAGAAAATTCAACTTCAAATTCCTCAATTGATTTAATTGATTTGAAAGTACTTTGCCTGGAAGTGATCTTGTACGTCTTCTAGTTGATTTGATGAATGTCTCTAATTGAATTCTGGAATGGTTTGGGGATCTGGTTGATTTTGAGAAGAATGAGATCGAAGGAAGTTCATTGGTGCTTAAGTTTCAAGTTGAAGGTGATTTGTTTAAATGGATTGGTCTTTGTTGGTTCGGATTTTGAAAGATGTATAATTTCATCTGGTTCTTTATCTTGTAAATACGTAAATAAGTACTTTGATTGGGTGGTCTGATTTGCGGCAAGTGAGAGGATAGTGTGAAGATTGGTAGTTTGTTAGGTGGTGAAGAATCAATTTGATGAAAGGAATGAGGAAACAATGGGTGAGGCGTGTGGAAATCAGGTTAAATCTGTTGAACGTGTAAACCTGGAAATTGGTAGTAGGGATTGGGAGTTTAATCAGGTTTTGCCGGCGAACACGGTTTACCTTTAACTTGAATGATTAGCCCGTGCTGCCAAAGAAATCCTTCCATACCCTCCTTGCCCGATTGCGAATTGGAACGAAGGATGGCTACTTTTGTTGATAACTAAAAACAAAGAAGCTATCTTCAAACCAATTGCAATCTCTTTCTGTGTCAATCGTGAATCTTTAGTTGGTGCGGGTCAATTTATGCAATGTTATAAAGCAGAATTGCTTATAAACAATCAAGTTCATCGTGTTGTGGCTAAGCAGACATTCAGTCTCCACTGTCCATTGGGGCACTATCAGGGTCAAGCACAGACATATGTGCATGTTGAAGGTGTTATTGAGAAGTTCAAATCCAATGTTTTGAGTAATGAGAAATTCAATCAGCTCGAGAAGGATCTAGTCAAGACTTTGGGAGTAAGATCATTTTCATTTTCATTTATCATGGTGATTGCAGCTGAGCTGACAACAAATTCTATCTGTACTTCTTGACTATTGTAAAACAGATTGTTAAGACTTGTGTTGTGCAAATCGTGGGTACTGAAGAATCACACATGGATCTCAAGAATGATAGCTCAAATTTATGGATCTTTGAAGAGGAACTTGTAGGTGACTACGTGAAGTATGTTGGGAATAATAATTTCACCATTGAAACCCAAAAGAAAGATGACCCACTTCATGAAATGCTTCATGCAATGTCTCATTATGATTTGAATGAGAATCAGGGACGCTCTTTTGTATGTGACCTACAGGGAGTGGGTACTACACTCACTGACCCAGCAGTCATTGATCTTGAGTGAGTGTAGTTCATATTTCTTTTTTTATCCTAAAAAGAAACTAGTAACGTGAATTAATTTTCCCCATTCTTTTGAACACAGTAAATCCTTTGGGAGAGGAAACCTGAACTATGATGGCCTCAAGCTCTTCATATCTCAACACAAGTGCAACTTGTGGTGCAAAAAGTTAGGCCTCACTTCAGCAAAAAAATGGCAGTCAGAACTCAAGAAGTAGATGGTTGAACTATACAATTTGGACAACAGAGTTTAATAGAGAATTTTTTTTTTGGAAAGTTTTGAGAGAATCTAATGAATAAATGTATAAATCTTGTCTATACTTCTAGTTTTTTTTGTTGAAATAAAATCGGAGATTATCCTATTCAATTTTTGTTGAAACCAAATGTGAGATTACACATCTTCATCTTCATAAAACCCCTCTAAATCAAACTCTACCTCAATGAGTCGCAACAAGGGCAAAACCCTTTCAAAAACTTTCCATACATTGTTGACAGTGATATTGGCTTCTTGAACACCTAACCGTTGGATTAAAATGCCGACTTGCAGGGAGAACTGAGGAGGAGAAACTTGCAAAAGATCTGCACGGTCTGGATATTGATCAATTGCCTTCAGGGGTACAGGATGAAGTCCTTGAGTCCCATCATAATTTTCAGGAGAATAATAACATGTATTGGGTGCGACTCCAGTTGGGAGGTGTGAATTTGGGTTTTTGCGAGTCCGTTATGTGTTCTTCCTTTCCATGAATGAATTCATCACGCGTTGAACTAAAGGCATCCAGAGGTGTAAAAACAAAGCCCTACACACAAAATTTGAAATCACATTCATTAGCAAAGAAACCCAAAAGAAAAAGGCTGAATTCAGTGTAAGAAACTGACTTCTGAAGTGGGTCCTTTGGATTATACATCCCGGTATCAATAGCCAGTTTGACATCATCGCGTAGAGTTGTATTCTTTGCGCGCATTAGCTGTGACCAAAGTGACTCTATCTTCTGATTGTGAGTAGAAGTGGTGTAGTGGTGATGGTTCAATGCGTCTTCAACACTTTCACCAGCGTAAATGTGTGTAAACAAAGCTTGAAATGTAGCCATATCCCCAGTCTCGGTTCCATGATCGGTTGAAGTTTTGACTGGAAATCCTCCCACAGCAGAAACAAGCTCTATAAAGTATAGACCAACTACTCGTGGGTTGTTGTTTGTTCGCCCAACTCCAAGACTCAAAACCTTCCTTAACCATGTATCAATAAAACCATAAATACATATCCCATATGGCTTCAGTTTATCGTGCCCATCACTAGCCCACAGATGATTGGGGCCTGGAACATGAAAGATCCGTCGCTTGAGAACACCACAACGGCGAAGTTCCATTCCTTCGGGGTCAATTACACGCATCAACTGATAGACTGTGTCACGATTGATCTTGATGTGGTGATTAACCGCAAGGTTTTGTTGCATAGTTCGATATCCTGCATTCCGATCTTCACCTTCAATTGCTTAGAGTAATAAATCTACCACCTGATCCACCGTCACGCGCCCTTGCTGTAAATGATCACGACGCCAATTGATACCTAAATCTTTTGAAATTGTTTGAATGTTTTACATATTTATTGGAATGTCGTATTTATCTTTGATTGCACACATAGCTTCCAAACGCGTCATCCCAAGGGTGTAGTATTGTTGAACTAAAGGATAAGCTTGTTCCTTCTGGTCTGGAGTCATTGATGCACGGGCAGTGGTGAGAGACAATTGCTGGAGAATACGCTGCAGGGTTCGGAAAGTGGTTTGAATATTGTGATCATTGGACAGGCGGGTGACCATTGTAGCTTGGGTGATACCTTCCTCACAGTATCCAAGAAGGATTGGGTCAAGGACTTAATCATGTATTTCATTTATTTGTACCATGTTTTTATCAAGTGAATTACAAGGTTGGTGAGTGCTGATGATGATTGAAATGATGATTTATTGATTGAAATGTAAATTTGAAAAAACCAAGTGGGTAATTTAAAAAAAACACTCGGAGGTGGGTGGTGATGGTGGTAGCTAGCTGATGAACAGGGAGTGTTGAACTTGATGAATACAATTGGTGGTGGGTGGCGGTGGTGGTGGTGGTGGAAGGAGCAGCTGGTGGTGATGGTGGTGATGGTGGTAGCTGGTGCGATGTTGAAAATCCGCAGACGGAGATCAGAAATCAAAAATCAAAACAAAATTCGAAATCCGAAAACCAAAAACTTAAAACTGAAGTTTTGAAAGGACCGTGGCGGTCACTTCACGTCACGGCTTCCATATGAAGGCCAGCACAATTCAAAGACATTGTCGAAATGACACTCACATCCAGAGTTTCGGCGAATGGTCTTTCCTCCAGATCACCTCAACAACACCCTCCGTTTCCGAAGAGCAAACACCGACACCTTCTCAGTCAAATCACTCTGAACTTGGAGAAGATGGTGTTCACGGCCCAATGATCATCACCCCGGATATCATTGACTCCGATGATGATCTTTACGCCCAAGATTTCGAGATGCGTCAACGCACAATCATTGATCTATGGACCCGAGTTCAATCAGATTTTTTCGAAAATAAAGATCACAATGTTGATCGCACGGAAGACAATCATATTGAAGACCCACCGGATGATCCTGACTCTAGCAGTGATAAAGATGAATCTGACTGCTTGGAGAGGGTCGTAGCCAACGACGACAATGATGACTGGGCTCCCTTCTCAAGCCTAGAGGTTCGTCCATTTTAGAACCATCCTTGTGGTTCTTTCTTTTTCACTGATAGTGCCGCATTTCTCCAGCAATTAGTCGGCTTATTGGTGCTGGGATCTACTCGCACAATCATGTCCCAACGTCAATATGAACGTGTTTGCTCATACGTGGGTTTGTTAGGAATTAGCCTTCCCGGATACAAAAGTATCCAGAATCTCCGCCGCAGACTGAAACAAACGTACGAATTTGATGTTTCTGAGAATGTTGGCCCTCTTGGAAAAACTACTTTTGCGCTGAAAGGTAAACAAGTACTAGCGCAAGTAAGGTGTTTACATTGTTCATGACTGCCTTTAATCATCAGTTCACTGAGGAAATTCCCATAGGAACTAGCCAACCCATTTGTCTGCGACAACCTGCAATTCATACCTGAATTTCCAAGCAATACTGAAAAAGTAGACCGCTTTGCTCAATCAAAGAAGTGGAGAGAGGACTTAGACCGGGGTCTACGTGTTCAGATGGTTGAATTACCACAAGGACATTTTTATATCTTTGAGCCTGTCCAGCTCAAAAACAAACAAATCATCATTCCGGCATTTTTCTATTGACAGGGCAAGGAGATATTTGCCAAATGCGCTGCTGCTCGTCAAAGTCTTCAAAAAGATGCAGATGGCCATCCAAAGATCCGCGTGTACTTCGACTCGACTTTGGATTTCAACTCACCAGTATTAACAGCTATCAACGTGAAGGAGTTTTCAAAGGTATTTGACGCAATTGAGATACGTGAGGGCGTCATGATGAAGACGTATTGTGGGGATTCAATGTATGGTAAGTCTTTGACTAAATTGTTTTGTTAAGGATCCTCAAGCTGAACTGTCATTTTCTGTTGCAGAGGATGTCGGCGCTGGAACATTCTTGCGAGTTCCTTTACCAAATCCATGGCAAATTAAGGCTAAAGGCAAAATTATCTGCCACGTTCCTCTTGTCATGTATTGCAATGATTTGTCGGGTAATATATCAAAGCGCTGGAATAAACACATTGCTTTTTATTGCACGCTAGCCGGTTTACCTCTGAAATTGTCCAATCAAGAATACAATTGTCATTTCTTGACAACTTCAAACTCAGCGGGTGCTCTGGAGCTGGCTGACCCTTTGGTGGATGAGCTCAAGTAAGTGATTCAGATAATTTCAGATCATTTTGGATAATAATCTGAATTACTTGTTTTTAATTATGCTATAGCCAAATAGCCACAGACAGATTTGTGGTGTACGATCATCAGGCGCAGGCAGAAGTACTTGTGATGACTGTCGTATTGTGTCATTTGGGTGATTCACCCATGCACGCGGAGGTGTCCAACACAATGAATCCAACTGTGTCTTTATTGCCTTGTTGTGTATGCGCGTTGAAGGTGGAAACATTGATCCAGAAGAGGTCACCAAAATACGTGAGCAACTTTGTTGGTGTTGACGAACGGGGACGCAAGGTAAATTGTTTCTTATTTTTTGACCGAGCTTTGGGATCAACTCAATATTAACAGCCATTCACTTGACGCCAGTTGTGCCTGCCAAACCGGATCTGGTCAGAGACTAAGCAAGGTACAGAAGACCTCTGGAACTTGTCACAACCTCCAGGGACAATCAGGGCTTTTGAAACGGAATCTGGGAAATTGGGAATCAAAGATACTCTCAATACTTTCTTTGTCAGGCGGGTTCAAGACTTCTTTCGAGAACCAAATAGGTCAAAAGCAGACGTGGAACAGATGTGCAAGGACCTCAACAATGCTTTTGGAGAGCGTCTGTTCAATCCATTCCTACGCTTGAAAGGTGGGTGTGAAGCCCTCAAGACATCATTTATTGTCAGTGCAACTAACTTGAGCGACTGCAATCTAGGATTTGATGGACATCTAGACACCCCTGTGGAAATCCTCCGCGTACTTTTATTGGGCCTGGCGAAGTATTTACTAAGAGACAGAATGCAGAAATGCACTGCTGCCGAAAAGAATGACATATGGGGTCGATGGCGATCTTTCAACACCACTGGGTTGAATGTTCCTCCCATTCAACCCAAGTCAATGATCAACCACTTTCTCAGTTTAACTGGAAAGGAGTGTCGTGTGGTGCTGCAAGAAGCTCCATTCATTTTCTTTCATTGTTCATTATTGGATGAAGAACATGAGGCTTGGACTTCTTTAGCTCATCTGGCACCTTATATATTTCAGACAGGCATTCATGACATGAAGGCATACATCAAGGAGCTTCGGATTCTCATCAATAGATTTCTTCGATCAATCTTACAACTCTCAGCTCAATGGTGCAATAAACCAAAATTTCACATGCTTATTCATATCTGCAATGCAATTGAAAGGTATGGTCGTGCATGCCTGTTTGCCACTGAAAACTTTGAAGGTTACAATGGGGACACTCGCGAGTCTTCCATCCACTCAAACCATCTGAGTCCTAGTAAGGACATTGCAAACTCATTCAACAATCACTGACTCATCAGATCAGTTACGGCGGCAAGTCTGATGTATGACCGAGGCATGCCTACTTATGTGAAGGCTGGAAGGAAGGTTTCAGAGTTATTCAAAGCTAACATCCTGTTCCAAAAGGCGTTGGGATATAATTCCAAATGGAATGAGCCAGAGACATTTAAGACAGGAAGTGCGTCACCAGTGTTTGATTTTCTTTGGCTACATGCGCAATCTAATGTGATGGTTTTTTAGGGATTCATTCTGCACAACCACCACAACTCAATATCCCAACGGCGATCTGGGAGGCTTACCCGTCAAAAACATGGAAGGTTTCATCTTCTTTAACTTTGAAAAATGGTCAATCCTTCAGAGAAGGAGGCTTTATCTTGGTATGCACTGTCTATCACAATCACTGACTGATCTGATAGCAAAAAATACTTATGCGTGGAATAATTCTCAAAAATTAGGTTCAATCAAAACATTTGCTTACTCGATACACATCAGATAAGATAATTGGAAGAGTTAAGAGTATATGGATTGCAGCGGGATGCGCGGCACAAGAGGCAAAGATTGAAGTAACAAGGTGCAAGACAGGAACAGTCAGTGAACTATACGGCATGCGCGAACTGCAAGAAAGTGGGATAAAGGTATGGATAAATCCATCAGTAAGTGTTTGCCTCCTCTGATTGCCAACCTCACTCCAAGAACCCATATAATGTGATTTATTTAATGTGATTTGTTTTCTGTAGGATATCGAGGGTATCCTCAACATCCAACACAATTGCCATAAAAGCGGCTGTGTCGTCAAAAAGGACAGACCTGTCATGCTTGAAAGGCGAGTTTCCACAAATCGAGAGTATGTGGTTGTCCATGAGGATACCAGATCATTTGTCATAAACTCAGGGGCATTTTATTCAGCGGCTTTACATCGATATTGGGCACAAATTTCGTTTGTTGGGGTCACTGCAAATGAATGGAAGAAAGCGGTGTCCACTGGGATCAAAAATTGGGAGGCCTCATTACAGAAGAAAAAAGACGACCAGGAAAGTAAACATAAAAAAAGAAAGGAGAAGGAAGCAGCCACCCAAGGCACACAGAAAGGAAAGAAAAGGAAACCAAATAACGGTGCAGTTGCAGGGCCATCACGATGAAGGAGTTTGTTGTTATACTGCAAAGATATTTAACATTAATAATTGATATTGTATTATATTGTATTATATTTATTGATGGAAATTTCAACTTACATTGCAATCCTCTGACAACTTAAGTGTCTTTCTTAGCGTCCGTGTCTTTCTTAGTGTCCTTTGAGCGCAAGTAGTCCACACATTCCTTTAGAAGTAGTCTCATCTTTTTGGTCATTTGAATCAGCAACACAATATCGCCGTTAAAAGGTGCTTCAAAATAGTGCATTTGAACTTGAAGTTGCATGAACTTCTGGTACCACATCTCTTTGAGGATCATTAATTTGTGTGCGTATTCGAGACATTGGAAGCCACGTTCAAGTCTAGAGTCGCTGCTTGACGCATTTGCATCCATCTTTGTAAAGTCTACGTGAGAAGATGTTTCAAAATGTGAGATGAACAGTAACAAAGCAAGGATTACAACGTACATTTTTTTGAATGAGGATTCAACAAAGCAAAGTCAAAGGAAAGGTTTTAGTGAAAGGTTTTCCAATATGAGTGCGGACACAACAAGCCTCATAAAGCTTTTTGAATGCGCATTGGAAACCCTGTGAAGCAAAAGATAACCAAACTTCCAGAGTGATCTCGCAATTGCGGAAAGATCCTTTAAGATCTTGATATCATATCAAACCTTTTCTCATGTTTCGACTTTCAAGGTTCCTTTGGGTCAATCACAATCTCAATTTAGTGTCTCGTGATGGCGAATGTATGGCAGTCAAACATCCTTTGATGAACCATATCCCCGAGATATCATTTGCTTTTGACATGCAAGGAATCCAATTAACAGCTTGTGGATTGTTGTTGTTTTTCTAGAAGGAAGGTGATCATTTCTTATAATATTTTCACTTCAATTCCAAACTCATGAATATCGTCCTTCTCAAATACATTCTCAATTCCTATTCAGTTCATTGCACCTTCTCTCAGTGTTCTCTCGTGACGTCCTCATTGGGCATCTTCATATAATTCCCTTTGGCAATGTGCGTCATCTTGCATGTCACATGCAAATGTCACAAATAATGTGACATATCTCCCACGTCTTCCACCCGTTTCTCTGAACTTCTCAATTACATCACTCCACCACACCCATCATTCACCAAACATGTCTCAACCACAACGCCGATTCTTTCCCAAGCCACCAAAGAAACATGCACCTCCAGGATCACAAACTCGTGCGAATACTGCCACTACTCCAACCACCTTTCAGAATCCGAGTACCAATCGACATACTTGCAATCAAACCAAACTGGCTACGTCAACAGCTCCGCCAACTAGACCTGTCACCAAACGCCGGGCAAGTGAACGCACCAAGGCCGCATCTGAACAACCTCAGCCAAAGCAAGCCAAGCTAACTCAGACTCAGGCGGTGAAATCCAAGAAGATGGTCAATCGTCCTCCTCCACGAAAACCATCTCCTCGACGTCGTACCCCGACTCCAACTCCTCCTGCAACTCCTCCTCGACATCGTACTCCAACTCCTCCTCCTCCTGCGTCATCTGGATCTCTTTTACGGGATCGATTCAACCAGAAAGATTTAGATATGTTTAGCTTCAAATCAGTTGCACAAATTGGTGTGTTTTCTTCTTTCTTTCTCTCTTGTCTTATCTCTTCTCTCTGTCTTGATTTTCTTCTTTACTGACTGGACTGATTCACAGTTTGCCATAGCCCAAGCCCACGAATACGGCCCGGACAAGTACGTAACTCAGAAAAAAACTCGCAACAACACCCACCACCGCACCACCAACAACGACACCAGCAGCAGTCGTGCACCAGCAGCAGTCGTGCACCAGCAAGGGTTCACCAAGTCGATTTTCACTCAGCTCGTCTTCTGAACGGATTTATGCCCTTGCAGGGTTCACAATTACAGATCTACAACAGATGTGCTGTCCGTGCCGATCTCGACGACCAATATATGGCAAGCGGACGTGAAATATGTAGTGTAAGATTTCACGTTGATGACTTGTCTAGCGTGTGACCACTGATCTATTAAATCTTCCCTTTGGCCGGCAATGACGCCTGACGAACAATTTATAGCCTCAACCACAGTTGCGCTGGCAAATCGTCAACAGATGACCAATATATACAACGACCTCACTCGACAGATTGGTGAAATTCGGGATCTTGTGTCACGACAAGGCCATGGCGTCTCCGGCGACGCTGCCACGGCAGCGCCTTGGCTTTCAAAAGTGGATGGTCAGGAGCTACGAGTGAGTCCACCACCAATAGTGTAATTTTAACAATAACTTGAACACATTAATCACATCGTGTATCATAGAAATCTATTCGCCAAAGCACGATGAAGGCAATTTTACGAGGTGACCTGCAGGCTTATACAGCAACCAAGAACTGATATGGCGACAAGGCAACACTCCCAGTTTCTTTATATGCTGCAGTAATGGTAAATCATTTATATTTCTTATTTTTTTGAATCAAGCTGAATACTAATAACATTTCCAGGACACAATCATGTCCAATCCCATTAAATGGCAAAAAAGGTTGCTTCCGAAAGGCTATGGCAAGAATGCCAAACCCCTCCAAGTCAAGGCCGTGAAGACCCTGGTCAATGTTGTCTTGAAAGAAGTGCGAAAAGTATTTGAAACAGAGGTACGTTGTTGTGTCTTCTTTTGGAATAATTTATGACTGTTTCCTTTTGACTTTCAGCTTCTTCAAAGCATCCAACTGCCCGGCCGACGCACCACCACAGACAATGTTAGTGTACCATTGTTGAATACGATTGTTGCCAATGTATGTGCGAGTATTCCTTTTCTCATCTGGCCCAAACTAATCTTTGTGTGACATAGATTTACAATAAAGAAATTGGTCAAATAGGAGGTCGAGTTCCTGTTCGCGATGAGGTCTTTGATCAGGTGGGACATCTGCAAAAGTCCCGTTATGCTTACCTTGTGCGTCGCTTCGACCGTATCCTTTCAGAGGGTTCTCTTTCATTCTTAATCCGTTGACAGTGGTATTTTATTTGTCTCATCTCAGAGACTGCAAGCCTGTCATTGGGGCTTTTACAAGAAAGATTACCGAGACGGTGCGACATTTTGGAGCATCGTGGACAATAAATTGGAGTTTCTGCGGGGTCAAAGTAGCAGGTATCAACATGCGTAAGTGATTCTCCTCTATATAAAATTGAAATGGCACGCTGGCTCATTACCACCAATTTGTATCAGATTCTACATTCAATGTTTAACAGAGGACAATGAGCTATTCCAGGGCAAGAAGACGTTGGCGGAAATCAGACCCCTCACCTCGTTCCCAATTCCCAACAAGATTGTCATCCAGGAGATTATGGATAATCTCAATGATACATGGGGTGATACTGTTCCAGCGGATGAAGAACTTCATGCAATGAAGTTCTTCCCCGCGAAGAATGATAACAATGAGAATGATGGTGATGATGATGATGATGCGGGGTTAGAAGAAGAAGAAGAAGCAGAAGAAGAAGCAGAAGAAGAAGAAGAAGAAGAAGCAGAAGAAGACGAAGATGCAGGGTTTGATGATGAATAATGAGAATTATGAACAGGCGGGTATATTATTAGATTATTTATATTTCATTTTATCATTCATTTCATTTCATTTTAAGTGTGGTTACAAACAATCAGATATAGAATTTATTACATTTCTCACATTTTTTATTATCTTATCATCTATCTTATCTATTTATGTTTATTTATTTGTATTTATATTTGTATTAATTTCAATGAAAGACATTGCCTTTGTTAGTGTTCATTAAACTCACAGAGCCACAGCAGAGACATCATGAGAGTACTGTAAAAAATCTGTGCTACTGCAATTGTAATTATAGAGGTCAATTTCGGTTTTCACACAGGCTACACACATGCTATACACGGGTTATTGATGGGGTTAAACCCGTGTCTGAACACCCGGTTTTGAAACCGGTCGGCGGAGGAAGGTTGAGAAACCGTTTCTGCTCACCAAGCCATTTTGGTTGAAAAACCAAAAATATGCACCAGTTGCTAAACCGTTTCGAGGGGTTCGTGGTGTAGAAATGGTTGACTGAATGGTTGAATTGACTAATAGGTTTCTGGGATCCTTCGGAAGCGGAGTAGTTTACGAGAGACAAAGTAGAGTGGAAGTGGTGGACTAAATAAAAAGCAAAATGGGTGGGAGTAAAAGTGAGAAAAGGAAGTATCTATCAAAGTTGATTGGGAGCACAGTGGTTGGTCAGTGATTTGGTAGTGTTAGAAAAACAGGACACGGAATAGTAGGATGGGGAGGAAGAACTCACCTTTTGCCAACACAGGTGGCTCTTTTTATTGAGCTCAACACAGTCACCCCTGGACTGGGTGCTGTCAGAGACGATCCAATACATGGTATCGAAGGTATCTTGATTGGGTTCTGTCTTTCCAGGTTCATCGATTGGTGAAGAACTAAGAGAAATTATTGCCTGCTTGGGGTTAGCGTAGAAGTATTGACCCGGCCCGCAACCGCCGCAACTCTGCGGTAAAACCCCGCAGCGCCTCATGAGACGTTGTGGTTCCATAAAAATCTGAAAACCCGCCAGTCAGGTGCGTTGCGGCCCAAACCGCAACACAATTTTGGGATTTGAGGTGCGGGGCGGGGACCAGAAAGGAGCTTCAACGCGCAGCGCAGCACGCAACATCTGTGTTGCTGGCGCAGGGTTGCACCAGGCGGGAATGGGCAAGCCGAAGCCATCAAGAAGAAGCAGATGAATGCTGAGGAGGAGCAGGACGAAGATGAGGAAGTAAGTCAAAGGAATCTGGTGCGAGGTTTAAGCCAGGTTACTTACACCTTTTCCCTTTGCAGTATGACCCCAAACGCACCATCAAAATCAAGGAAGCACGGGCGGAATACCTGCTAGGTGAGCTGACTTCTCATGAGTATGTTTATCATGATCATCTCCCAGCAAAAAACTTTTCCGACTCCTCCTCCGCAAATCTTGCAATGGTCAAGGCGAAGTCTAAAAAAAGCGGACCTCAGTCTGCCCAAATCGAGGACATGAAGGCGGCCCTTTGACGCTTTGATCGTGCTACGCAAGCCCGTTTGGAGCACTTGAATTCACTCGTGGAGGGTGATCAGACTGAATTCAAGATAGTGGAAGCCTGGAAATTCAACGAGATTCCGCGTGCTTATAGGGCAGCTGAAATTGTCCTGGTGCGCCAATTCAAGCCTAAGTGTAAAGCCAATGCGAATGGGGAGGACGAGCTATGTAAGTTGATCATTTCATAACTGTAAATAATGATACCAAACTGACATAGACAATTACCTGCAGCCTTAAAACAATGGTTGCGTGATGCCCCGTCTCCTAAACGCGCTCGAGTGGAACCAGCCAGCGGGTCCTCTCAAGAGCCAAGTAAGTCATTTCTTTGAAGCTCAATATGTGAAGCTTGACTAATGCCAGACCTTGTCGAATAGATATTTCTGGCACACGATCCAAGTCTGGAGCGGACCCTAGTGGCTATCTGCTTCTCAGAGCCAAGGAAAGCAACTGCGAGGCTTTAGCCAACATTAGTGTGCCTAAGAAGAGGGGTGGTGAATCCAAATTGAGAATGATCCTAAGGATATTGATCTGAATTGAGAATGATGATAAGTGATTAATTAGTATTGTGAGTCATTAATAAAGAAGTTGAGCACGATTCAGAAGGATCCAAATAATCCAGATACCTGCTGAAGTTGAAGTTTAGATCTGTTCTAGTACCAAAGGCCTATAATCAATGAAGTTGAGAAGGATACAAATTACTGAAGCTGTTGGGGGTAATGTGATGAGCGATTGAGATGTTGAGAACGATTCAAAGAGCGATTAAGAAGTTGAGATCAATACAAAGACCAAATAAAGAGTTCTGAAGAATCTAACAAATTTGCTCCCCTCTAGCTGCTGTGTTATGCGTTGCAATGAACTCAATCTCCGAAGCATGCAGGGGTTTGAAAGTGTTAATCTAATGGTTTATCAGGTTCTATCCACCAAAGACCTTCAAAGACGACTTGCCATTTGAAATTTTCAAACTTTCACATGTTTATCCCAAAATTTCACATGTTCATGCTAGACTTGTATACATATGTCACATGTTGGCAACCAAAAACAAATGGGCGGTCAAATGATGTGATGTGATGTGAATTATATATCAAGAATAATTACTCCTAATCCTTTTTTGATGTACGCTCACATGATGGGAACGGTGAATTGATCTGATTTGATATGAAGTTGATTAATGTTTTCACATGAAGAGTCCTATTTGAATTACTCAAAATGGCATGTGTTATTGAGATGCACAACTTATTCGAATTACTCAAAATGGCATGTATTATTGAGATGCACGAAGAGGTATGATATAATGAGAATCATTCCTTCTAATGAACACCCTTTATGATGTATACAAGAACACCACATTATCACACATTTTAAGTGTCATGAGCTTGTCATATAATTCCATTGTCATAACGTGATTCAAAACTACACAAGTATTGCTTCAATACTTGTGATTTGTCTAGAATGGAATGTGTTATAATTGCATCAGAATTCATAATTTATGTCATAGTCAAAAAAGACCAGTGATTCACAAAGGCAGCCTTTGTGTTTGATTTATTCAATGTGCCTATCAAAATGGACTGAGTCTTACAAATCAGATTGAATTCATTCCAAAGATACCCATCTTTTTATTCAGGTGACCTTCTAGTAAACAAAATCAAAAACATCCCATAAATATATAATATCAAATGTGTTTTTTTTTTGATTTACCACTATGTTTGCCTCATTATAATGCCTCAAGTGACTCAGTCAAACACAAGGGTCCAACACCAAGCTTCAATTGTTGAACCAATTAGAAGGTGAACCATCTACCTGAACTTCAAGATTGAATATAGGGTCTTGCCTATAACCACCACCACTGACATGGAAAATAATTTTCCCAACTGTAGTATCACCTTATCAAGAACCTGCATGAAAAATACCTACTGGAAGGCTTTCCAACCGAGGAAGCTGTCAATATCTTATGCCATGAAATCTACTTTCTGTTCCCTTGATTTAACATCATCACATATTCTATTCAGGATACAAAGCCTTCTCAGACATACAAAACATTTAATTGTTAGTTATATGATGATTCAGAAACAAGGATAAAGTTGAATTATCAAGAACCTGCATGCAAAATACCTACTGGAAGGCTTTCCAACCGAGGAGACCATCAATATCTTATGCCATGAAATCTACTTTTTGTTCCATTGATTCAACATCATCACATATTCTATTCAGGATACAAAGCCTTCTCAGACATGCAAAACATTGAATTGTTAAATATATGAAGATTCAGACAGAAGGATAAAGTTGAAAGATTTTTGTATACAGCAGTCAAGTTAATAAAACACGTCTATCCAGCTGTCAAGGGTAATATATCAGGAAAAGGAGAATCAGTCTATGAAGTTAGACACCATAGAAGTTCAAAGACAGCCAAGTTGCACTTACGAGCAAGGATGATGACCAAAAAATCAACTACCTCAATTATGTTGTGAAGTCTAAAGAGAACATAAGCAGCTTGCCTCATTCACAAGAAGAAACTTGAGCTGAGACCATTAAGATTGTTTGTTGATGATTCAAATCCATAGCAGTTAAAAAATGTTGTATGTCCATCCCAGTTTAATGAGATTAAGTTGAGATGACTTGCTACGTTTCTCACCTTCCACCTTGATTTGGAATGCTCTGCTGATTTCGTTATCTTACACCGTGATTCTTACACCGCGAGGTGTTTTATTGTGATTGACCAGATGTTTCTCAAATTGGACTCAGAAAAGATTGAAAAGATGAATGACTTGCAGAGAGTTTTTGGAAAAGAAGTGATATGGAAGGCAATATATAAAACATCAACCACCTGGAAGATTTTCCTTTCCAAGGTTGCTTACTCTTCCTCCCACACAATCAATCTAAATTTCACTTCAAAGTTTTGTATTTTGTCTTGAAGTAAGACATTGGTAATATGATATGTGACTGCTTAACATATTGAATGATTCAGTATCCAATTACTACTACTACAAAGCAGATTTGTTACTGACAAGGACTAAATGGTGAGCCTGGTCATAACTATTCTACATGAATCTATTTGTTCTTCCTCAAAATTAAGTAGAAGATATCTCACATATGTCCTTCTTAGACACTTGGACTAACCAGTATTGACAGTTGTCCTGCCTTGTCTATTTAAGAGTGTTGCATCAATTATTATTGCATTGGTGTGCCTATGTTGAGGGTTGTCCTGCAAAGTTCATTTAGAGTGACCAATCAATCACTTTGATTTAATGATTGGCACTAGCAATAGAGTATTCACCGACACTAGTTTTTGTATGGACAATTCACCAGAATTCACCATGATGAAGTCATTAATTATGAGGTCATTTTATTTGTGATACTTTCATCAATTACCATTGAAAACATGATTGGGATCTTTTGAATAATAATCATAACCATTTGATTCGCATAAACTACAGATTCATATCAAACCAAATAGTCTTTTCATGCAAAGGCTTTATTTGGAGAAGAAGTTAAGCCAGCCAAGAAACAAGCCCGACGTGATAACCCAGCAGGCAAAGGAAGTGCAAGCCAGAGATGGAACCAACTGCAGACCCGCGAAGCTGAAGCAGCTCAGGCCCGGCTTGACTCTCTGAAAACTCAACATCGGCCTGTTCAAGAGCAAATTGATCCTGAACCACCTCTGCAGCCTCATGATCTTAACAGTAATGATGATGAAAATGGTGAAGATGGTGATGAAGTTATCGTTCCACAGGTGTATGAAGAGCTCCATCTGGTTGAAGAGGCCAACCTGGCCTCTGGAGAAGGTGATAATCTGACAGTGATACCGGCCAACCAATCTGACTACTATTGGGGTGTAACTTACCAAGAGTGAACACTTCGTGAAGAAGCTGACTGGCAAGATGTCATTCCCCAAATCTTTAGGGTATTCATACCTTGTGCTCAAAAGACTCGACAATGGGGGGACCAGAATTTATGGAATATCAACTGGAATCCTCAGTGCAGATGTGCTGTTTGGCAGAAGTCTGAGGTTGAAGTGGATGCTATAGATATCTTAAGTGAGTGTATCCTGACTCAACTCAGCATCCTTAATTCTAAGTGCATATCAATGTTTGTTCATAGGCCGTCAGAATATCAAACTTCAGAGCTGTCAATGCACTCCTGATGTAGTGCGGCTAGTTATGAAAGGCTCCATGGGTGGTTCAGCAGATCGGCCATGGACTGCATTCTCAATCCGTTTACTACGCTTTAATCACATACTGTGGAAACATTGCACAGCTTGTCTTGCTCCCTTTGTTGAGGGGCTGAATGAGTTCCTTGATGCCTCAAATGCTCTTTTTTTGGTACCAGGCACTGATAATGTAAGTATTTCTCTCATCTCAAAATTGTTATGTATACTAAAACATCTTTTTGGAAGGGTAGACTTGTGACTGGCAAAAGAACTTCTCAGCAGCTGTTAATGTGTATCGGGAGATGATTCGGCTTGAGGAAGAGATGGTTACAAAAGCTTTGCATTTAACACCAATTGATCAACTTGCATCAAACTGCCCGCCTTGCTTTGGACCGGTTGTTCCAGGAAAGCGAGCAGAAGAGCCCAACTATATCATATGCTTAGATGGTGATTTCCAGCACAGGCGACACATGGCTGCAAGTGCTTCTTGGCAAGGTGAGAGCGGACTTTTACCCTCTCTTTTCATTTCACCAGAGCTTTTCAAGGTTTGGGAGTTGAAATTGGGGCAACGGGGGCGTAACAATTGTCAACAGAAACCTGAAGTCATTGTAAGACAATTGAAACTTCTATGCACCTAAAATATATATTTATTGACATTTTTCTAATGTTGCCTCAGGACCCATGTACCAGCCAGCACACAGCAGCCAATGATGTACGAGGTAGACAAACTTGGAAGGGGTTTGATGAGACAGGTCTGATGGGTATGGCATGCCGCCATGATCATCTGCTTAAGTTGATCAATATTGTACAGACAGGCGAACGGTGTGTGGCTCAGACATCTCGTATATTTTTAAAATACTCACTTACTTCTGTACCCACAGGGGCAAATACCCTCTTGCAATGCTTGACTGGATTCTCAAGAGAACTGTTGACAGTGATCTGACTTCCACCTTGTTTGGAGTACTATATGACATTGGATGTAACCTAGAGAAGAGCATCAAAAAGGTTGTATACTTTTGTTCTATCTGAACAAACAGTTTGTTCACTGAAAACACATTTTCTTACCATGCAGAGAAACTTTTTTGAACGCTGTATTGATTGAATGAAGTTTGGAACAAGTGTCTTCCACTCATACGTACACCAGTGGTCATGTCAACTAAGGTACAACCCACGATTGAATGCGGATTGGGGGCTGTCAGATGGTGAAGGTCTCGAAAGAATATGGTCCGCTCTGTCATCCTTGGTTGGCCCTTTGCGGTACTGTCCAAAGCTTCACAGGCTTGTTGCTTTATACCTGCGTGCAACTCATCACAATGAGGCTCGTAGATTTGCATCCGGTTTGTCAAACGTTTTTTGATTCCAAAATACACAGTATATTCTAAATGACAGTAAATGACATTATGTGTAGTTCAATGGTTATTGAAACACTTGTCATCAAGCCGTCAACTATATTATGAAAGCAACCAAAAGTTGAATCACTTGAAGACCAATCCTGCTTACTCTGACCAATATTTTGAGACCCAATGGAACAGACAGCGGGAGTCGCAGTTGCAGGTGATGGTTCACAATAATTTGCAAAGTTTGGAGGAAAAAGTGAATAAGCTGACCAGCCTGAAAGAAAGCCACCACGAGTCCAAGTTGAGCATACTTTTGATATATTTTTTATGTTTGCAAGGATATTTGATAGTAAACCTTGTTTTGGATGATATAGGGAAGAACTCAAGTTTTTGCGGTCTAAGCACAGAAGAGATAGGACTACACTTGAAAATGATAAGATCAGTAACCTGCCGGTAAGATTGAGAATACTACAGGGTGAGATTGATCAATTGGTTGGAAACCTAGGAGGAGACCATTACAGGGATATGCCGTCTTCTAGTAAGTTTCTTTTGCTGATGATTTAAGTATCACTCCAATATGAATCCTAAAATATTGTATAGCCCCAAAAGGCGCCAAACTTATCCGGATCCGAGTGGCAAAGTCAACATTGTATGGTGCCAAAGTGGATTTGTTGGAAATGCAAAAGCTCAGTGATCGCAGAGAAGGTGCGTAGATAGCTTTCACATCATTTCAATTATTTTAGTTACATTGCTGATATTAGAACCATATGAAGGAACCCGTCTTCAACAAAAAACAAAGCGGGATTTGAGAGTCAAGCAAGCAGCTCTGAAAAAGAAACACAATACATTCCACAAACTGGTTACGGAATTTAATGAAGTATTCCTGTCTCCACATCCTATTAATTGCCCTCCTTTTGACGACATCAAAGCACTTCCAGTCTTTGATCCTTTCTGGGATATGGGTGACTTAACCCATCCAACAGAAGCCTGGGCTGTGGATCAAAAGACTAAAGAGGGCATTGTGGCATATTGTGATAAGATCCATGCTTTTGATGAGCTGCGTCGTGTAGGGCGTGAGTGCAGGCAGTCAATAAAGTGGGCATTGGACATGGACACAAAGATCCAGTTGCTTGAGACTAGGATAGGAGGTGAGTGGTTGATAAGTTAATGTTTCAATTGAATGACGAAGCTGATAATTTGTGTGTCAGATGAGGATCCAGATGATGATTTGAGTAAATGGATGGTAGAATTAGTGGGATCTACCAAGGCAAGACCTGCAGATTGAGCGAATGAGAGTAGAAATATCTTATGTGGTATTGTGGGCCATTTGTGTCAGAATTTCTCTTGCCTATGGATGTCGTGGAACTGTGGGATGCCTCAGCTCCTGGGAGGTACTGCTGAATATAGTCAGATGACGGAACAAGAAGAAGCCTTGTTGACAACAAGTTGGGCAGGATTAGTTGAGAGAAGTAGGTTGATGTGGAAAGCAAGTTCCCCTGCGGAGATTGTAGAGGCCACGCCTATGGATGAGGGAGAATTGGCTGAGCAACATCTGGCCAACCTTGATGAATATCTTGATGAAGACAACGGTGGAGGGGATGTTTTGGAAGAGGTTAACAACAGTGAAGATGTTGCCTCAGATGACGGTATTGACCTGGATTAAGGTGTTATTAGTTTATTAATATAAGTCACTTCATGTGAATCTTGATCCATAGCTGAATACTTGCCACTTTGAGAGGTGTTGTATTTCCTGCTGTGAAGCTGCTCTACTGTGTTTTGAGGCTTCCCGCACTGCTGTGAAGCTCCTTCAATCTGATGTGAAGCTGCTCTAAAGTATTTTGAGGCTCCCCGCACTGCTGCGAAGCTGCTCTACAGTATTTTGAGGCTTTGCGCACTGCTGTGAAGCTCCTTCAATCTGATGTGAAGCTGCTCTACAGTATTTTGAGGCTTCCCGCACTGCTGTGAAGCTCCTTCAATCTGATGTGAAGCTGCTCTACAGTATTTTGAGGCTCCCCGCACTGCTGTGAAGCACTTGTAATCTGTGAAGCTGCTCTGCAGTGTTTTGAGGCTTCCCGCACTGCTGTGAAGCACTTGTAATCTGATGTGAAGCTGCTCTACAGTGTTTTGAGGCTTCCCGTACTGCTGTGAGGGCCCTATCAGAGCGCTCTGAGAGTCACACAGAGCGCTCTGACAAAACCTTGTGTGAATAAGGATGGATAAGATGAAAAAGTAAAATCCTTCTTTGATGGGACATGCATTAAAACATTAGAAATGTTATTTACACTTGAAAAAAGTTCAATTTGAGTTGTTTCAATGTCACAAATTATTCAGCTCAGTGCATCTGATGTGCTCTGGGCTGTGCACTCGATTCAGAGTTGATGGTGTGTGCCACTCTTCCTTTGACTTCGTAGTCGCTTGTTACAGGAGGCGCGGGTGCATCTGCTTCAGCTTGCAATACATTGACATCTTTTTCATTATCTTAATGAGTATCAATCATGCAGACATTCTGTTGATGTTGATTTTGTTGATTTTCTCCTTCACTGTCTGAACTTGAATCTCCTGAAAGTTGTCCTCCTTGAAAGTCAAACTCATCATTCATGTTATCACTTTCTTCAGTGTCTTCTTCAATCACATCTATTTTCTTATCTTTGCATCCTCTCCACTGATGTTTTGGATCTTTACTTCCGCAGTTTGGGCATGCTCTAGAAGGTTTCCTTTGTGATGTACTTGGTTGAACTCTTGTACTACAGGGTCCTTGCATTTTATCATCTTTCAAGGTAGCTCTATTGTCAATAAATGGTCTCCTTGGTCTATTCAAGTATCTTTTCTTTGTGATGATGGTCGTATTTTCAAAAATATCTTTGAATACCATCAGAAACATGTCCCACTTGTACAATGTAGAGAGTTGACTTTTGATTGCATTTCTAGCGTCACCATCCACTTTATTCAAGATTTTATTTACTATTCTGTCTTCAGAGGAGTCTGGATCAAAAGCTGAAATTCTCTTCTTTTGCTTCAAAGACCAAGCTGTGGGATCTGTGTGTATATTAGCATCAAATTTGTTGTTCATAAATAAATCTTCCATGTTATTTTTCCAAACATTGTCACCAAATCTCTTATGAATTTCTTCTTTCCACTCATCCCACGTCATGGCGCCCTTAGTTTTACGTTTATCCATGTACCATGGTCCTGCTGTGCCTATAAAAGCTGTAGCTAAATGGCTTACAACAACCAGAGGGTCCATTTTTAGGGTGATGATCAAATCATCGCACCAGTCAATGTAATCATTTGGATTATTATATTCACTGTCTCCGCTAAATTTTTTCCAATCTCTACCTGTTGGCCACAGTTTGGTCAATGCTTTAGTCAAGTTATCTTCTCTAGCAGATTCTGTTACACCTGTTTGAGCAGTATCTTCTCTCATGAATGATCTTTCACAAGGTGGAAGTGTCTCATCTCTTACAACTGTTCTTTCACGAGGTGGGAGTGTCTCATCTCTTACAATTGTTCTTTCACGAGGTGGAAGTGTCTCATCTCTTACAATTGTTCTTTCACGAGTTGTTGGGCTCTGAGAATCTCTATTCCACGGTAAGGGTTCTACATAGCTGACTGCTCTTTCTCGCGGATCTGTTGTGCTTTGTCTAAATCTGGCGTCTCCTCTAAGTGATGGATCAACTCCTTGATTGTCCTCAGGACGTAAATTGAAGGTTCTGTTGACTGCACTCAAATTTTTTTGGTGTGCTGGTATTGGACTACCATTATTGTTATTTATTCTACGCTGAAATTCTTGTATAATTGTCAGCCTTGCAGTATTTGCATTATCATCCATCTCCAATAATTTTCTCTGTATCTCATTGTTCTTGTCTAATAACTTGTTGTTAAAAATCTCCTGGTTTTTAAACGTTTGATCTGTGAAAGTTTTGAATTGCATTTCTTGTTTGAGCAATAATTCTTTCTGTAATTGCTCATAATTATCGTTTATGTTTTCTTGTAGAGCATGGTATGATTTCATCATACCACTTTCAAATTTTTGTTGTTGCTGATTTAAATTTTCACGGATTTTGTTCATGTTTGTGTCTTCTCTCATTTCACCAATTGTAGAGGTCACATGTTGTTCATGCTTCCCAAATTTGTCAAGGAGCTCTTCAATTTTATTATACAGATATTTAATTGGTAATTTCATTTGTTTATCTACTTTAGCATCTAGATTTTTTAGTGCAATTCTCATTTCAGCTAAATCACCTATTATTGCGTCACTTGTCTCCCTGATGCTTACTTTATCTTGATTTCTCTCCTGCAACAATTTATTTATTGTCTCATGAAAATTCTTATCATAACTGTTGAGTTTGGATGTCAATTTCTTTTCATTTTCTGATATACGTGTAGCAATTTGACTAGCTAAATTTGTCATTTGTTTCACCATATTTTGTTCAGAAGGTTTACGTGTTGGTTCATCAATTATTTTGTTCAATGTACCTCTAATCTGTAATACAAGAGCTTGAGTTTTGTTTAGACTATACATTGGTGTAACATTTTCAGTTTGTATTTCTGTTTCTCCTTGTTTAGCGTTGTCACTTGTATTTGATGTTGATGCACTAGTTTCTTTATTGTTACTAGAAGGTGCTTGTTCTTTTCCTTTGCCTTTGTTTTTAGATTGACTCTTTATTTGAATTTTTTCTTTTTCTTTTTCAGACTCAATCAGTTCTTCTTTTATTTCTGATAACTTACTCACAAAATCACTATAGAGTTGTTGATAATAATCTTGTTTGTTGACTTTATCAAGGATCTTTTTGACTTCTATAATTTCTCCTCTCAACTCAGTAAATTTATTCATTGTATCATCATAGGATGACTTATGTATTTGGCAGTTTACTTGGAATTCTCTCAATCTCATTTGCTCACTATGCTCACATTGATTCTTTAATAGGGTCAAGTTGGGTTGTAAACGTTCAACACATTGATAAATTGCATAAGATTTTCTTTGTATCAGTTCATCTAAATCCAAATCATGATGTGAAAGCGCAATAGAGGAAGAAGAAATTTTTGAAGAGGGATTTGAAACTAAATTTGACTGGTTGAACAGTCCTTGATTGTTTACCTGTTCCAGTTCATCTTCTTCTATCTTTAAGGAATCAATAGAAGGAGACAAGTAGTTGGAGGGATCATTATCTAAAGGTGGTCCAGTGAAAGGTGTCTCAGTAAATAATACTGAAGGGTGATGATGAAAAGAAGAACTAGGAGGGGGCAGGATACTTACTGTTCCCTCTCTTTTCCCTTCCCTTTCGAGTCTGGATCGCGGTTGTCCTTCTTCATCTTTTTGACCACCAAAATCATGTCCAGAAGGTTGGAGGCATTCTCTGCCATCTCCTTGATGTCCTCGTCGTGAGCTCGCTTGCGACATTGGCTGGAAGGTCCTGGTCTTGGAGAATTGAACGGTTCCATGGTCCAAGGGTTCAAGTGGTACAGGTTGTAGCCCGCCACTTCCTCCACTCTTGATCGGTGGCGACGACCTCCCAAGAACTCTTTGAGTTCTCTGTGGGCTTCCTTGGCTGCACCCAGAATTTGTCAAAAATTCGAATTGTTGTTCGCTATTCTGGCCTCATCGAAGTTGCGTTTGAGGTTGATGATAGCTTGACGTAATCGGGCTTCTTCCATCTCTCTGGTTTGTTGGTACGATGGTTGAACTGGAGGAGGTGGAGGTAGGTTGGGGTTGTTGCTTGCCCCTGGAGTTGGTTGGTGTTGACGGTGTACCGGGCAAGGGGTGTGGGGGGTACTGAGGTTGGTGGTTGTAGGCTGGAACCGGCGCTGGCGGGTATTGAGCTACTGGGGCTGCCAGATGGGCCGGATACTGGGGTTGGTAATAATACCCTGCCTGTTGCTGCTGGGTCTTCAAGTAACAAATTGATTGTTTCTTTATTAGCTTCTCTTTCTTTGGTCAGATTTTCTATCAGTATTGGGTCAGGCTTACCTGATGCGGGTAGTGGTTCCCATAATTCCACTGTTGACCTCCGTGTTGTCCTGGAGCTCGGTTCGGCGGATCGTTTGGATTTGCCTGTCCCTCGTGTGCTGGTGGAGCTTGCCCTTCTGGGTGGTTGGGAGCTTCTGGCAGACATATTGTGGAGTTTTTTTAGAGAGTAAGGAGAAATAATAATAAGAGAAGAAGAGAGAGAAAAACAATTCAATGAAGATGATAATACCAAAAAAAATTGTTATTCGTCAGTGATGATTATACTAGCTCTTGTTTAATATCACAGTTCTACTTACAATGATTGTTTGTCCCTTGAACTGGTTGATGTGCTTGAGTAACGTCCCCTCAATCAATTGGTTGCTGATTCTCTGGCTCAATTTGCCCTTGGTGTTGACTACTAGGACGATTGTTGTTGTTATCTAACAACGATAATGTGCAATTCCCAGATAGTCAAGAGAAAGATACAATGTTTTATATGTAAGTATTGTGTTAAAAAAATGTATATAGTAGAGTTGAAGAGGAGAAAAGAAAAAAAAAATACCTCTGTACTGGTTGACTAAATTATCTGGTGGGTGCCCTTCGGTTCAAAGTGGTTCTTGTGCTGTATCGTCCGAACAAACCGAGTCGATGTCTATGTTTGCTAGAGGATCTTCTTGGACAGGCGTAGCAACAGTGGAATTGATAACGATTGGCTC